TGCTGTTTTCTATGGGACTTGCCAAGCATGGGCAAGGCATGCTTATGACAAGGTGGTCTCAGAAAGACAAAGAGGTCTTGCTGATATTATATACAGGAGTACTTTCTGGCTCATAATACTGATGTCCAGATTGTCTTCAGTAGAAAAAGAATTCCAGAGAGGGTTAGGAAGCACAGAAAGATGTGGAGAGGGGCACAGATATTTTTTGTACCTGGGATCGAACACATGACCTCGCACTTGGCAGGCAGGTGCTTATGCCACTGAGCTAAATCCCCAGCCCTGAGCGGTACAGATTTAACTGTGTTACTAAGCCTATCCCCAGAATGACACCTTCTAGCAGAACAAGAACAATTTTTAACACACTGGCTCCCAACCTAGTAATTTCACCTTTGAAAGTTCTTTCAGCGCAAGGATAGATTCTGAGTGTGTTTACAGGGCAAACAACAGAACCTTTGGAACTGGTGAGGGCGGGGGCACTGATTCCCTCACACACACTGTGTCCCAGGGCTCTGGTCACCAGCATGTCCTGCACCGAGTGCTACCCTGAGAGATGACGCAGGCTGCCTGGTGGGAAGTGGGTAGTAGGGGCAGCCATGAATGTCAGCTCATGGGCAGCACCAGTGACCAAGTCCCCTGCAGTGACCATCCGGGTGACCTGGCTGCCGCTCTCCCTGCAGATGAAATCCCCGATGTCTACATCGTGGAGCGCCTCTTCTCTAGCAGCCTGGTGGTGGTGGTCAGCCACACAAAACCACGGCAGATGAACGTCTATCACTTCAAGAAAGGCACAGAGATCTGCAACTACAGCTATTCCAGCAACATCTTGTCCATAAAGCTGAACCGCCAGGTAAGGCAGCGAGAGCCGCTGGGGTTGCATGCTTTCTGCTCACCAGAGCCATAGGGAAAAAAAGACGAGTCCTTTAAACAATTCAGATGTGGTGACAAACACCTGTAATCTCAGCTCTCTAAGAGCCTAGGGCAGGAGGATCTCAAGTTAGAGCCCAACTTAGACAACTTAGTGGCTCAGCAAGCCACTTTCTCAAAATAAAAATAAAGCATTAGGGATGTGGCTTAGTATAAGACACTAGATTTAATCTATGGTACCACAGTTAATTAAACTTCAAATGCTAAAGACGATTTTAGCATGTTTGGGATGTGTGTGCATTAGTGTGAATTTTATGAGTTCAGCTCTCACTACTGAAATAGTAAATAACAAGTATTAAATGCTAATAATGATTTTTTTAAATTTTAACTTGCATGTCTGGTTCCACAGGCATAGTGTGAATGGTATCCACCCAGTTTGTTTATGTTTTAGCGCTGAATTTTCCTTGGTCCTTTGGCCTGCATTTTCTCTCGAGTGTCAGCCATGTCCTGTCTGCCCCTGGTAGGTTACTGGGTTGGTAGCAATCAAAACAGCTTAGAACTCTGACTCAGGTCTGTCCCTTGAACCTCTGCAGGGTCACCTTAACATGTTCCCACCAGCTTGAACCACCAGTGGTACATGCGTGACTGTCCCACGCAATCCAGTTGAATCAGGGGTTCAGCACTGCCCAGCAGGGGGACATACAGGTTACAGACCCGTGCATGTGAAACTAGAAGAATGCGTCTTGTGACCTTGGCCAGACAGTCGCATTCGTTGTAGCTGATAGTTCTGCCTCTAAAAATGAGACGCCCAAGGGCAGAGTGTGGTCTTTTGGGGTTAGTTCTGAAGGCAGATGGGAAAATTGCTCTTCCGTCATCTGTTTGGACTTTCCTGGAAGTTCAGCTGTGAAGTCTTATGCTTCTATTTTCCGTTTTTTCCAGCTAACCCCTAAAGATGTTTTCTTGTAGCATTTTCTTTGTTGAAGGAAGAATTACTCTATATTATATATGCAATATATGTAATCCATTAGCATTAAAAATATAAGCTCTTGTGAAGCAAGCATTTGGGGTATCAGATCTCCTCTGAAATTACTGAATTTTACGTTCCATGAGAGCAGAGGCCATGGCAGTTTTGCTCAGTACTTTAAAACTTGGTGGAAAAAGTGTCTGTTTCCTGGCTATTATATAAATAAACAAAGAGATCTTTTTGTAAGTGTCCAGAGCTCTGTTCAAGTAAATATTCCCAGGAAGATGGAAGTGGTTGATTCACTAAGGCCTCCTTTTGTCTTTGTACCTAAACTGTTAAGTACTAATTATTTTTTTTGAAACAAAGTGCCTCCTTAAATTTCAGAGAAGGAAGAGATTGCTGCTTTGAGTCAATCAGCTGTTTAGATTGGATATCCACTTAAATCCACAGAAAGCAGGGTGGTAGAAAAATGGCTTGGGAAATGAAATGTGGGGACTTTGCAGTGAGGGCGGAGCAGGCAGAAGGAAGAAAAGAAAGGGGAAGGCGGTTTTGAGAGTGTTCCACACAAAATCTCTAAGCAGAATTCTCCACCCAAGTTCTTTCTCTGAGATCTGTTAGGCACATGTTAACTTTTATTGGAGAACTTACGTTTGCACGCAGTAGTAGCCTGTATATAAAAGTTAAATGTCTTTTTCTCAGACCTAATTATCTTTTTAAGACTGTTTAGTCAAATGTTTTTTAAAGATAAGAGCCCTGGAATCATATCTATTGTGTTTACTTGTATGCTTTCTCTGTTCTTGTCTGGTATTTTCTTTAGCGAATGGGACTAGGAAAGATTCTTCAAGTGTGTGAGTCCGTTAAGCCTCAGTGCCAGCTGCTATTAACCAGAGGGTCTCATGCCCCATCTTTGGGTGAGCACCACGTACTCAGCACTGCTCAGCAGTTGATAACCAAGCTAGCAGGAAGCCAGATCTAACAGTTCTTTCTTTAGCATAAGAAAGTGACTTGAGACTGGTCTGAAAAGTGTTGGGGTTTGCTTTTCTGAAGTTTCAGGTTTGGGTTCAGAGCTCCTCACTATGGCAGTCCCTCCTTGGCAGCTAGGGGTCCACAGTACTGCAGAGCCACTGACTGGGAGCAATGGAAACGGGCAGGTGTGCCCGTCCTGTCTGCGGTGGCCATCCTGCTGCATCATCTCGGGCACGCAGACCCTTCTTAAGACAGCAAGGAATTTTAAGACATAAGGAATTTTAAGGAAACAAATCTGTATTTTCTATTGAATATACAGAAAGGAAAAGTCTTTAGGAACAGTGATATGTTTCCTTTTACTTGATGTTATACTTGATGAAATGTCTTTTGGGATAAAGATAATAAACCAGGTATATTTAATATATATAAAGCTTTACAGTTCTTTGACCTTTGCTTCTGGTTATTGAGCTACAGTCTGGTTGGATTGATGCCTCTGCGACTAAATTTATGGTTCTCCTCCACAGACTCAATGTATTTTTTAAATTGCTACAAAGGAATACTACTTAAAAACAAAGAAAGTGAACAAAAATCAAGGCGACCAAGGTTAGGCTGAATTGAAGGCAAGGCCATGGTTCTGATGCAGACTGATTAAGCAAGCAGCTATTGCTGGGCATGGAGAAACATGCTTCTAATTCCTGCACTCTGGGAGGCTGAGGCAGGAGGATGGGAATGGGGAAACACACCTCTAATCCCTGCACTCTAGGAGGCTGAGGCAGGAGGATGGAAAGTTTAGTCTTGCTTAGGCAACATAGCAAGACCGCGTCTCAGAAAAAAACAGAGCTGAGAATGTAGTTCTGTGTGAAATACCAGATAGGTAGGTAGGTAGATAGACAAACAGCGGAAGGCAGTTAGCAGGCTTTGCTCATTCTAGAAACATTCTTCACATGAAAGAAGATGAAGCGCCCCCTTGTTCCCTTCTGCTGCTTTCTCTCTCTTTCTCTCCCTTATAATTCTCTGCAGCCAGTGGAGGGGAGGGTCCTGGAAATTTGGCTGAGTGGGAGGGCAGAGTGGATGACACTATTCCAGTGGATGGGAAATGATGTAGATCACATCAGCCAAGCCTGGAGGTTCACGTGGGCCCTGCTGTTGTGGGATGGGGTGCAGGGCTGGGAGGGGACACAGGAAGATACAGAAACCTCAGAGAAGAAACAAGCATAGAGGAAAATTGTCCAAACTATGGTACATACTGCTAAAAGTCAAAGCAATCAGGTAAATTAGAGAATGTATACGTCACTGAGAAACTAGTGTTTGTCATTAACTTTGAGACTCTGTTAGAACTTTGTTTTAACAGCTAAGCACCCAGTCTCAGAGCTGTGGCACAGAGGCTTAATTAAAATACAATGAAGCATTTGAACTTTGTTTTCCTACCTAGTTAAAGTTGATTGTTTCCATTTTTCTGACCTAACAGGCATCTTAGTAGAAACAAACTTTGCCTGGAGGAGAGCCTGCTACCTTTTTTGTAATATTTTCGGATTCCTTTCCTTATAACTGGTGTTCCTGGGCTTCAGAGGATCTGGCCTGAGAACACTGGATCCCCAACCTTGTATTCATCATAATCATTTGGAGTGCTTGATTAAAGATGCCCCAGCTGGAATCTGAAGAGGAGTCCAGGGTTTGGTTCCTGGGTGGTTCTGGTGCTCATCCAAGCCTAAGGCAGCCTACTCCTGGCTACAGCCTCACACAGGCTCCAGGTGTAGAAAGCAGAGTCTGACCACCAGTGCCTGCCCCAGGCTTGGGCTGGGCTCCACCCTCCATGACTGGAAACACATAGCACCACCTTGGCAAGAGCCTTTCACCTGGCAAGCTCTGGAGGAGGAGGAAGAAGGGATCAGAGGCACTGGGGCGGGAGAGCCTGAGAGAGGTGCTGGGTGGGAACAGGGCCCTTTGACTTTCATGGCATCAGCATCAGGGATTCCCAGCTCCTCCCTTTGCCAGGGCAGTAGAGCATGGCACAACAGTGGATCTAGAGGAGAGTGTGGAAGGAAGGTAGAGCTTGGGACCAGAAATATATCAGACTTTAGAGCTTTTTAGATTTTGGAACATTTGTGTACTCTTTGCTGGTCAAGCATTCCTAATCTGTAGATCAAAAATCAGAGCAGTTTTAAGTGCTGATGCTCAAAGTTAGCTAGATGGTTCTAGAAGTTTCTTTTTTTTTTTTTTTTTTTTTTTTAATTTTATTTAAGGAGAAAAGAAAAAAAAAGCAGGGAAAGGGTACAAGTTATGCAGATTTACAGAAAAAAAAATGAACAGTAGGAAATCACTAGTTAATGGATTACATATTGTCATCTTAGAAATAATTGTTCAAGTCACAAAATTAAAGCTTGTAAAGTGGACATTCCATCAATGATACTGCAAACAGTTCTGTTCATTGATCCAATAAAACTCTGTGATATCATTTTCTATCTTATACACTTAAATATACATGCAGTTATATAGTTTGGAGCACTTTCTTTTCCTCTCTTTTGTACCATGACTATTACACATTTTGGGTTTCATTGCTCCCACAGTTCTTATTACTTTTTTGGAAGAGAGTAAAACCAAATGTGACATAACAGAACTGAATCGGTCAAGTCAAAAGGGTGGACATAATAGATAATGTAAAAACATAATACAAGGTGATCAACAATGGTTACCATAATGCCTCCCGCTATCTCTAATAGAATTGCCTATATCGTTAGTTATAATACAATTGAACAAAACAGTAAAGAATAAAACCGACAAAACCAAAACATTGGAGACATTGTAGGTCTTCAAAAGTAGATAAAAGTCAACAAGAATGGGCGTCATAATGAATCTCATTATCTTTACAGCTGATGGCTAAACTTTTGAACCTGATACTATCCAGCAAAACAGAATAGGGGAACATCAGTTAAAAACCAGATGGTGAGAGTAATACAGGGCTTTAAATCAAGGTAATGAAAAGTCAAAGTGGGTTATTATAATATATCCTGCTATTTTTTTCCTTTAATTAAAAGGATAAAGATAAAAAAGTAAATAATGGAGTGGAGATTGAGATAAAAGAGGGCATAACAACGAAACAGTGCAGATCAAAACATAACCATTTAAGCAGAATAGTGTTTCACCACCAGATAATCCTAACCTAAAAGTAGTTACCATATTGTCTCTTTCTTTGAAATCCTTGAGTACAACTTCGGATACTGTAGCATTAAGTATATCAAAGCAATGTAAAACCATTCAAGAGAATGACAGCATTACAGAGTATTTAGAATCAACTAACAGAAAATGAACAATGGTTTCTGTATAATCTCCTTGTCTTTAAAAGGTTTTTGCTTATACTATCGTACATAATAAAATCCAATAAGATACAGCCTATTTAGACTGTTGGAGACAGAAGGACAAAAGCTAGATGAGACTTCAAAACAAGATGATACTAAATCAGTATTACCTATTAAGATGTCATTTTCTTCAAAATAGCTGTTCCTATCATCCAATCTTCTCTGCCTCATTTCTGTTGAGCTCTTTTTCAGTAGCTGTCAGTTTGTCTTCTTCATTTTGTTCCCTGCTCCATTCGTTGTGGCCTCTCTGCCATTATTTCTGGATTCTTTGTATTTTTCTTTTTTTAGAATATCCTGCAATACTCTCTGTAGAGTTGAATTGGTGGTTGCAAATTCCCCCAGTTCCTCTTTATCCTGGAAGCACCTTGTTTTTCCATCAATTTCCAGGGACAGTCGTGCAGGATATCTCAATCTTGGCTGGAGATTATTATCTTTCAAAGCTTGAATTATTTCCCCCCACGCTCTTCGTGATTTGATGGTTTGTGCAGAGAAATCTGCTGTAATTCTGATGGGTGTTCCCTTGTAAGTGGTCTGTTTCTTGTCTCTGACAGCTTTTAATATTCTGTTCTTGTATTGAATTTCTGGAATTTTTATTATTATATGCCTGGGTGTTGCTCTGTTTGGGTTGTAGGTAGCTGGGGTCCTGTATGCCTCATACATCTGAGTATCTTTACCTTTTGCTAAATTAGGAAAATTCTCCTGGATTATTTCTGTGAGTAGCTTTTGTAGTTCACTTGTTTGTGTCCCTACTTCTTCTTTTATGTTCTTAATCCTTAAGTTATGGATCCTCTTATCATCTTCTTGTCTTTGTATTATTGCTGTTTGTTTCTTTGTTATTTTTAAGAAGTTTTTCATTTCATTCTCCCATATTACAAGTCTGCCCTCCAGTTCAGATAGTCTGTCCTTAGTTTCTTTCAAGCTGTTATGCCAGTCTTCGATAGACTTCTTAGTATCTTGGTAGTCCCTTTGAACCTGCTTCACGTATTCTATGCTTTCTCTGTTTTCTCCATCAAACAGTTCTCCCCTTTTTTTCTGTTCTTCTATTCCACCACCTGTTTTTTCTTGGGTGGTACTTAGCATTTCTCTAACTATTCTGCATACTTCTAGCTTCAGGTCGTTGATAAATTCATTCCTGAATTGGTCTATGAGGCTCTCTATATGGCGCCTTATGTGTATTGGTGCGGTGTCTGCTATTGCCTGATTCTCAGAATTGGGAGCCGAGGAGCCTTTCTTGTTGCTGCCTCTTCCCATGCTGCCTCTTCTTCTCTGTTCCTTATATATGCAAGCTTATATAAGAGGCCCAGCTTCTCTCCCAGTCAGCCACAGCCTGATCGAATTGCGCCAGTTAGGTGTTCCCGCTCACCGCTGGGCACCAGGGAGTTACGGACCAGGCAGCCTACGCGTCTCCCCTCCCGGCCACCGTCAGGCTCTGGGATCTGGGTTGGGACAGCCTACCAGGTCCGCCAGCAGCGTCACGCAGGCCAGGCACTTTTCACCAATCCCGCCCGAGAGGGGGATGTATGGCTGGAGTCGCCACCGTGCCCTGCTCCCGCAGGACTGCTCGGGCCCAGAAAGTCCTCTGCTGGAGTCAAACTGTGGTAGAGTGTCAGTTTCTCTCACTCACCTCACCACAAGTCAGTGCACGCCTCCCTGCCGTTCGCAGATTGCCGTTCTCAGAGCTTCTGCGTGTCTCTCTCCTTGTCGAGCCACTGTAGAGGCAGCCAGCCGCCACGCGGCGGGAAACCCAAATCACAGCTTACAATGGCGCGGGGTCCAGACTCCACACCGAGGCTTTTCTGTTCCTGTTTTAGCGCCAGGACTGCATTCCAAGTTGGTTTCTCTCAGCCCAGTTCGTTCCTGAGTCAGCAGAGCATATCTCCACCTGCTTATGTCTCCTTAGTCCGCACCATTCCTGGCTTCTGAGCCGAGTCTTTCAGAGAGCCTCCGGTAGTTGCTGTTATCTGTCCGCCATGTTCTCCCGGAAGTTCGGTTCTAGAAGTTTGAATCAGGGAGATTCAACCTGTAGAGAGGAATAAAACCTGAGACACAGTGATACAGAGACTGTAAAGAAACACACATTTATCTGAAAGAGACCTTGTCACCAGCACTGAAAGGTAGCTTATCAAGTAGAAATAAAGATCAAATGATGACCCCAGATGATCTTAAATGAAAAAGTTAATATGATCAAGTGTTCAGGAATCACTGTTCTAAGAGAGGGAAGTACCAGGAAGAAAAGATAAAGGAGAGAGGAAGAGAGGGAGAGAGAGAAAGGGAAGGAGAAAGAGAAAGAGAAGAGGAGGAGGAGGAGAAGGGAGGGAGGGAAAGGGACTGGTTGGCAGGCTTCATTTTTATATAAAATGTCTTAAAAGCTTGCGTTTTAAGCTTCTGTTCAAGTGGGTAGTAATGTGTGCCTTCATATCCATAAATACAGATGGTCTTCAGAAGATACCATCAAAGTCCTTTCTCCTAAAAGATCAAGTTAGGATTCAGTGGAAGATGAGCAGTTTGGATTTGGGTAGGTGCCTTGTCACAGAGTCCGTGCAGTGGACTTAAGATCTTTGTGATTACAGAGGTTGCTGGTCTGCCTGGAAGAGTCCATTTATATCCACAACATCAAGGACATGAAGTTGCTGAAGACCCTCCTGGATATTCCTGCAAACCCAACAGGTGAGCTTCAACAGCAGAACCAACACTCCGGTTCTCACGTCCAGGCACCTGGTCCGAGCTGTGTTTCTAACCGGACTGAACACCTGAAGTGGTGTGTGTGCTGTGTTGTCCTGATAGTATTCACCGTGAAGTTTTCATGGTGGAAGATTCAAATTCTGTCAGGCTGAGATCCTCCAGGAGAGCTGCTCGCTACAGCCTTGGAGAAGCCTGTGTTAGCAATGGGTGAGGCATGTCAAGTATCTGCGTAGGAGATTCCATGTGTCTAAAGTTGAAAGGTATTTACCCTTACCCTTTTTTGTGGTGATTTAGTGTGCAGTATATGTAATAATTATAAACAAGTTTTGACTTGGTGTGTCTGCATGGCTAGGCAAAAGATAATCTGAACATAAAGAATGTGTTTTACTACAGTACAAAGCACTTCCTCTACTTGAGCCAGACGCTAGGGTACCTGACTAGGTTCTCCTTCCCAAGGGTTAGCACTGTTTAACACATGTCTGATTTTTAAGAATGGGAATAGTTTGAATTTGTTAGATGGAAATAATAGATGTTGACATTTTATGAAATTCATTGAGCTAAAAGTGACTGAGAAGGAATCCTTTTCAGGAAAGGGGCAGAGGGAATCATCACATGAGAATGATGTATGTATCCAGTGATTCAGGTTAGTATTTATAAATTGTCTTACAAGTTAGTATCATAAAAAGGCCCCTTCTAGTTACTGTAGTTTCTTAACTCTTTGACTTTCATGGAATTTCAAGATTCCTGTGGCTCCACCCAAATGACCTGGACTTTTTGAGCCTTATTGTTTCCTTATTTGTAACATGGAATAGTAACAGGCATCCCACAGCATCAGCCGAGCATGTCAGTGAGGTGACATTTGTGCAAGAGACCAAGACAGAATTTTATGTGCAATAAACATTTTCTGTATTTCATTTCCTTCTCGTCATCTCACTTATATGGAGAACCTTTTAACTTCACCCCCCCCCCCCGATGTCTCTGTTTCTGTGTGTGTGTGTATGTGCATATGTGTAAGTGGGTGTGTTTCTGGGAACAAACCCAGAGTGTCACATATGCTAAGTATATGCTGTACCACTGAGCTGGGCTCCCAGGTTCAGATTTCAGAGCTTTAAAGTCTCAGTCATTGAGACCAGTAAAAAGTTTTCTGAAATAACAATTTCAAGGCACAGTTCACAAAAGGGAAGATGGCAAGTGTTATGGCTTGTGTCTGGATCCCCCCACCCCTGCTTCCAAAGCCTTATGCAGTCATAGGTGGGGCTTTCTCAGAGACCCCAGATCCAGAGTGTGTAACACTGGAATTGATTCATGATGCTATGCTAGGATCAAGGGCACTAGGATCAAGGGTGTGAGTGCTACCCACCCTAAGTACTCTGAATAAGATATATGACATAGAATTGTGATTGTCCTCTGTGGCTTTGCTACCTTCTCCTGCCATGAACTATTTTTTCTCTGGAATGCCTGTCTGCCATATTACCCTGCCTTAGAGCCAGTTGATTATGAACTGAAACCTATATAAATTGTGAGCTAAATAAACCTTTCTTCCTTTAACTTTGGGTATCAGGTATTTTGTTTCAGCAACAAGAGAAAAGTAACTAAGACAGCAAGGAAAGGAATTGTGATGGTAGTGTTTGTTTTAGAAATGTAAGGTTGAAGCAATCTGGAAAGTAGTTACTGCAGACATCCTATGTGCTTGCAACCACAGATCTCATCTGTACAGATAGTGCAGGTGCTCACCAGGAGCCCACCCAGCTAGCACTGGTTCCCTTAGGGACCATTCTGCAGATTACAGCCTGCTATAGGGTGGAACCAGCATCTGACCGCGGGGTGCAGAGAGTGGGAGAAAGATGCACTCTCCCGAGAGGCTCTGAATCTGAATCTGGATGGAGTGCTGGGGAGAAGTGGGGCTGAGTTGGGCACTACTTTGTGAAAGGTCCCACCCAATTTACCAAAAGTACAAAGCTTCCCTGGCTCTCAGTTTCCTTGAAAAAGTGGGCAGTTAAACCCAGTCTGCTCCTCCCTCATACCTGCTGTGTGCTTAGGAGTTCAGGCTGGAGGTCAGGGCTTCTTCAGCAGTGAGACATGCTGCTTCTATACAAATGAAGTTTATCTCCATGTGCCCTTATTTTTTATCAAATATACAGTTAGGTGTCACTTAATGATGGGGATGCATTCTGATACATTTGGCGATTTTGTCATTGTACGGACATCAGAGAATGTGCTGAGGGGAACATACACAGTGCAGCAGTCTCCTGCAGCCCAGGCTGTGCTGTGCGTCGCTAGTACGTGGGGGGTGTTCTTGGCACCAGAGTTGTTATGCAATGAATGACTCTAGTTATTGCTCTTCAAGCGTGGATTGCTTCACTCTTTTTTGCAAGACAAAACAGAGAAAGTAAGGTTTAAAATACGGGATTATTTGTGTTTCTTATTAGAAAGGATATATATTTTTATGAAGGAAATAACTTTTATCTCAAGAAAAATTATTGGGAAGTTTTTTTTGGTCTCAGATAAAGGGACCCAGGGATATATTAAGCATTTCCTCTGCAAAGACTACGGGCAGATTGACCAAAATGTGACCTTTCAGACCTTTTATATTATTTGGAGCAGTAACTGAAGATCTTAAACCCCAAATATATTTATTTATTTAGTCCCTGTTTGTAATACATGGACTTCATGTGTCACTTCATACACCCATGACGTCCATTCTAGGGAACTGGTACCCACATATAACATCTCTTACTTTATTCATTTACTTATTTATATTTTAGGTATCTCATAAGAGAAAGCGTGCAATATTTAACTTTCTGAGTCTGGCTTATTTTGCTTAGTGTGATGGTGTCAAGTTCCATTCATCTTCTTAAAAATGCCAGGATTTCACTCTTCTTTAATATTCCATTGTGTATATGTACATTTTTTTTCTGGCTTCATCTGCTGGTGGCATGTAAGTTGTTTCCGTAAGTTAGCTACTGTGAATTGTGGTGCTATAAACAAAGGTATGCATCTATCACTCCGATACAGTGTTTTCAGTTCTTTCAAGAATACACCCAGGGGAGAGATTGCTGGCTCAAATGGAATTTCTATGTTTAGGGTTTTGAGGAATCTCCATACAGATTTCCATAGTGATTGTGCTAGTTTAAACACCCACCACATTGCTGAAGCGTTCATTTCCCCCCATATCCTCACGGGCATTTGTTGTTCTTTGTGTTCTTGATGGTAGTCTTTCTGGCTGGGGTAAGATTAAAGATGATGGGACATTTTAAATGTACTTACTGATCATTTGTAGTATTTCTTTTGATACGCATTTACTTATTTCATTTGCCCATTTTTTGATTGGGTCATTTGTTTTGGGAGAGTTAATTTTTTTGCATTCTTTTTACATTATATGCAAGATATTATTCCTCTATCAGAAAAGTAGTTAATAAAAAATTTTCCTCCATTCCTTAGGGTGGCTTTTCATTTTGTTGATTGTTCCATTTTCTGTGCAAAAGGTTTTTAATTTGCTGTAATCCCATTTGTTGATTCTTAATACTATTTTCTGGGCTATTAGAGTTCCATTCAGGAAGTCTACAGCTTCAAGTGTTTCTCCTGTATCACTGTCCAGAAGTTTCAGAAGCTTCTGTTTTTATATCTAGTTCTGTGACCCATTTTGATTTGGTTTTAGTATAGGACTAGAGACAGGGATCATTTTGCTCTTTTGCAGATGAATACCCACTTTTCTCAGCACCATTTGCTAAACAGGCTCCCTTTTCTCTGGTGTATATTTTTGGCCCCTTTGTCAAAATGCAGGTGCGTGGGGTTGCTTCTATGTCTTCTGGGTTGCTCTACATCTGTTCTTTGCACTGGCACCATGTTACTTTTTATTGTAGCTTTATAATATAACTTGAGATCTGGTATTGAGATACTTCCAGCCTTGCTATTTTTGCTCAAGATTGCTTTGGCTATTCTGGGTCTTTTCTGATTTCATATGAATTTTAGGAGCAAGTCTCAAATTTATAATGATCCCCTAAGCTTCTCCTGAACTTGCTTTTGTATTTCAGTGAAATGAAATGATCATATTTAGCCCACCGAGCTGCACGGGGAGGATTCACTGAGGGCACATGCGAGTGAGCCAAGGTGGGCTGCCTCGTCCTCAAGGGCACTCAGCTGAGTTCACAGCCAGTGTCCCTCCTCCCCCAGGGCTGCCCCACTCCAGTCGGAGCTTCGCAGCAGGAGCTCTTCCTTGCTCAGGAAGCTTCAGGACTCTAAACTGCCAAAAACATAGTGTATTTAGTTCTGAGATTGTCTATTGTCATTTGATCCTGGCCGTTTAGAATGTGTATGATAAGATTTTCAGTTGCCTTT